CTTACAAGGGAAGGATGGTAGGTCGAAGTGGCCGTTCGAAATGAAATGTATACCTCCTGATGCGTCTCCAGACGCTGATTCCAAATCTGCCTTCCAAATCTGCTAAACGACTCTCCGAACGGAGTTATGAAGCGTAATAGCTCAGTGGTGATGGTCCGGGGTGGCAGGTAAAAGCTCGTAGGATCGGTTCCTTTGCAAGTTGGTTGCTTTGCTTTTGTCTCTAGAAGTGTTGCGGACAAAAGCAAAGCAACAAACTTTCAGCTCTCACTGCTAGACTATCGAACGAATACTGAATCATAAGTAAATATGTTTTCTATGATATTTCATTATTTACTGTCCTTATTTGATGCTATAAAAGTAAGAGCAGAACATAAGGGTTAGCAAAATATAAAGATGTAGAAACACCACGAACCAAGTCTACATCCGAATTATCAGATGAGAGTCCATTTACGGATGAGCCAACACGAACAAAACGGCAATCACGCGAAAGAATTCGATCCGCGAGAGCTTCTGGTAAATTCGACATTATACTCTGGAATTTCCAAACGGATAGCGGAATAATATCATCAAATTTTTGGGGTACCCATACTCCATACATACTGTAATAATACCCAACCTTGGAATTGGATCTGCATTGATCAGCTTCGTCCAGTTTACGATCCAGAGACTCCAGACGACTACCGTGGCGTGATCGTACGTTTTCAACAAATACAGCATTGTTTCGACCTAAAAGTTACCAACTCATTGAACCCAAAACATAAGCATTCTGATGTGTTCAGCCTACAGTTCATATCCCGGAGATAGGGTGGGTGGGGCCACAGACGTGATTGCGGACTACACAAACTTGATAGTTGTCGCAGCGAACAGCTGATTTATATTCGTTGATTTCTACTATTATTCGAATGTTCTGCTGTATTCTAGTATTCTCTAGCACTATTCTACTTATTCAGAGAACAGGTCAGTTTCACCAGAAAGAATACTGTTTTGTATTTCACAAGAATGCTGGGTTGTGAACAAAACTTTCGCCCCAGGCGGGACTAGAACCCGCACCTCTCGCTTTCCGGGCAAGTGCGCTACCGGGGCACCATTTCATCCCAACTCAGCTTTTCATGGTATACGTACCATAGCTTTCAGCACTCACACGTATAACGTGTTGAGCCGGTTAGCCGATATCGGCAATGACCGCGAGGTGCGGGTTCTAGTCCCGCCTGGGGCGAAAGTTTTGTTCACAACCCAGCATTCTTGTGAAACATTCGCAAGGCGAACTGCGGCCAAAAACAGCAGTTAACAAACAAAAAAAGTTTTGTATGTTATTTGCTATGATTTTCTACCACTTGAATATTGGGGCTCGGCTTTTGCACCTTCCATGATTTTTTGTGGAATAGAATACAGCAGAAAATTCGAATAATAGTAAAAATCAACGAATACAAATCAGCTGTTCGCTGCGACAACTATCAAGTTTGTGTAGTCCGCAATCACGTATATGGCCCCGACCCACCTGTCTCCCGGTTATCAGACTGTCACGTCCGATCTAATCACATAACTAGAAAGGTCTTTGCGAATAACCGTCGGTCCACAGCGAAATTTATAGTCAGGCGAATTCATATGGCGCTTTGAACAAATCGGTAAATAGAGACTTCGAAACCAAGCGCCTGCAACAGCACGGAGGCTCTCAGGATTTACCTTGGCAGAAAATTCCTTGCAATTATCCTATGACCTGTATCAGTTGTTATCAAGTGAAACAGCAAACACGCCAGTTTTCACGCATGAAGGTTCGCTCCGAAGAGCAACAAACTCGCGAAAATCCATTCTATGGACATCGAAGGTAATTCGGGCGGAGCCAAAGGCGGGGCATGGAATAAGTCCGCACTGGGGCGCCTACGTATCAGGCGACGCAATGAAAGAATCGGGTTAAAGCGTGTGATTTTGAAGAGAGAGACAAATCGATTCGATAGAATAGAATGGAGTAGAAGTGTGAAAATGTGAATGCAATAAAGTCAGAAGGCCAGAAAGAGTTTCCTAGTGAAGGCACTCCAAGAACCAAGTGGAAGCATCCCCGTCGCCAGCATTTGTGACAGATGTCCGGCGGTACTTTGAACGCGTAGCAGCCCTTTCGGTTTTTCGAATTTTTTTACCAAAACAAATGCAATTTTTCTGTTCTTTTCATTCTTATCGTGGACGATAAGTCTCAAGCCAGTGATTTATGGCTGAAATAGAACCATGATTTTTCCATGAAGGATCCCTTCAATGTTGCTGAGCAAAAAGAATTCACACACTTCTAATTCTTCCTCGTGCGTTATTGACGTGAATAAACTGTTCGTCTACACAAGGTGAGTTTGTATTATAATTATGAAATAACGCAAAACTAAAGAACAATGATAAAAAGGATTAGAAAAACGATGCGGCTACCAAAATTCGGAGACGGTGCTTATTCGTGCTGAGGAATCCGCTAGTAGCGCTAAAAAGCTGGAAATACAGAAGTTGAGGGTAAGCTGATCCCATATACTATAAAGCACTTCGATGTCGTTTTGTCGTTCCGTCGCTCTTGCCACGGTGTCTGTGACGAAATCCCCTACCTAGTTTACTTAGTAATTTTAATTGATTGAGGCAAGAAAATCGAAGAAATAGAAGGTACACCAGTGCCGTCGAGTTTCTGCCCCGTCCACATGTAAGTTCATGTTCCCATAAACACACGTTCACAGAGGGAGGGCCGTAACATTCTCCAAAAAGTATAAGCGGTAGGGTTGACCTTGCTGGAGATCCGCCTGGAGAGACCGGGTCAAGTGTGGGATGGGTGGGCATGCCTCCAGAAGTCTAGAAGTACAAAACACACATCAGCTAAGCGGAGCCCCGCCCACAGTGGGCGTGGCGTGCATCGAAATGAGTGGTACTGAGACCATGATTTCAAATTCAGTCACAAAACAGCCTCGAGACCGGGACAAAAGTGGGCATAGGTGTGGGTTGGTAAGCCAGATCGAACTGAGGAGACCCACCCTCGGTGGGCGGGGCGTTCTCTAGAAAATGGTGCTCAATGAAAATATTCATAACTCGGTTAGGAGAAAGCCTACAGAGCAGAAAAAATTAGTGCAGGGGAGCAATGTCTAAGGTATTTCCAGCATACATGATGTGAACGGAGGCCCGCCCACAATGGGCGGAGCGTGCTCTGAAGTGGACAGCGTTTTCTACAAGTCTCATAATTCGGTTCCGAGAAGTCTTAGAGAGCGGAAAAAGGTGGATAGAGGTCAGAGAAGGAGGGAGGCTAAATGTTAACGGTGGGCGTGGCGTGTACAAAAGTGGGCGGAGCTTGCCTGACGCATGACTCGGTTCCAATAAGTCATGGAGACCGAGAAAAAAGTGCATAGAGTCCAACTACGAAAAGGAGGTCAACAGCTGTAGGTGGGTAGGGCGTGCACCGGAATGGGTGCAGTTATCTACAAAACATTACAACTCAGTTCCAATAAATTGTAAGACTGGGGAAAAAGTGTGTTGAGACTGACCTCGGAAGGGAGGTTAACAGCTACGGGTGGGTGGGGCGGGCACCAATGTGGGAGGAGTTTGCGTCGAACTTGTAATTCGGTTGCAAGAATTGCTGGAAACCGAAAAAGGGTATCGAGTCCGGCCAAATGCATTGGTGGGTGAGCGTGCACTGAGGTGGGCGATATTTGAAAGCATTTCAAAATATGGATGGCAGTCCCGTGTGATGCACGCGAACCCGAACTGGTAATTATGGAATGACTGTATACCTACTAGAAAGGGATACAGACCCTCTGAGGGTACAGGACAATACGCCTCCACTGACATGGGGCATGACCGTGGCGTCCTAGCGGCATATGTACTCACGCGCTAAACGTTAATAGACAGCCCACCCTTTGGCAGAGTCATCCATCGCCAATTTTTGAAATTGCACGAATGCGACGTTCGTGAAATTTCAAAAAGTTTTTACGACTTTCCCCCTCTCAACCCTCTTAAAGGGATTTTGATATGGTTCCATCCAGCTAGGGCGGAAGTGGTGTAGTGACAAGTGGCGCGCTCACCACGCGAGCGGTCCGGGATCAAATCCTGGGTCGTGAGTCGCCCGGGCCAACCAAGCCTTCCATCCCTCCGGGGTCGGTTAATTGGTACCAGACTTGTCTGGGAGGATAAAACACTGACTTGACATCGGCTGGCCCCCGCAAGTCATTGTATAGGCCACATCGCATTCAAACGCCACTACGAATGTACAAATGGAAGTAGAATGCGTGCCGCATCCCAAAAGGGATTGATCAACGGCAAATGCTTTATCCTTTTAATTGAAAGGCAATACCACCCCGCCACAACACATGACCCACATCCCGTGTCCCATGTAATAAGATTACACAAACCTTCCCCTATGATACGAGGGAGAATGAGAAGGAGAAAGAGACAGGGGTATGCACATCTCCTTCAGAAAGCGGGAACAAGAAGAAGCAAAAAACAACACTTTTCAAAATTCCTCAAAACTTGACTGGCAAACTGTTGGGAAAGAATTAGAATTCACAATTCAATTTTACTTCCCACAAAGACCCACAAATCAAATATAAAAACAAATCTCAAAACTATGAGAATACTTCACCATTCATATAAGATGAACAAACCGAACAAAATATTAACAGAAGAAAACAACGAACCTTCACCATATATTTCACATGTCCCTTGCTCTTTATCGCAACCGCATCTCGAGATGCGCCCAGAAAAAAATAATAATATATAAATAGAATTAATTAGGAATTTTGACGTTAGGACGAACAAAACACACATCTACCAATATAATACAATACTCAGATCCACACACATACATAGCAGAAAAAATACACAAAGTCTCCAGAATTTCAGTCCCAGAAGTCCTCCGAAATAATACTACCCCTTACTGATCTCATAGACTCGCACAAAAGCCACCAACACAAATCACAACGTGACTATATCTGAGAACGTGTTAAAAAACAACAAATAAAGCCTAAAGGCTCATACATCACTCGGCTGCCATTTTCAGGAAGCCCTTGAAGACCCGCAGTATCGAATAGCAGTGTCAAGTCGTTGCATACGACCCCCACCCACTGCCAGAATCAAAAGAACAACCGTTCCAAGTTCCTCGTATCAGTAAGGATTTGAGGAACCGTTTTTTCAGGTTTTTACGAAAAAACATACTAGATTTTTATAATTTAGAACGACCCATATCCATTCACATTCACAAAACATATTCATAGATATATAGAGAGAGATATAGGAATTTTGCCTCATTGCTGTAACCATATAAGCTAAAAGACCAGTAATATGAGCAACCCACGCCCGCTCGTAATAAAAGAGCCCAACAAATCAGCGACCACTGCTACACTCAGAAATCATAAATAAGTTTCGCAGAGCACTCACATCACTATTTTTGCAGCGCTCCAGAACTATTAGCGTCCAACATCAAATATTAGAATCTCCAGATTTTCTGTACAAGAGCTATAAACAACAACAAGAACTCACCTTCTCTGAGATCGGAAGCAAGCGCTCTTGATTTTGCTGCCAGCCATCGAACAACCGTTCTACTCACCATTACTGCTTCTGCTCTCTACCCCATGTAGGTAGCACTCATTGAGCGTTTCCGTCGTACTTTATCTGGATCATTAACCATGAATATTCGTCAGCGATTCCTACGCAGTTTAGCGGGGCATTGCTATGGAAAGTGGAAAGCAGATATGGGCATGAAAAGTTGAACCGCCAATACGTTACCTTTCTTCAGAAAACTTCTTGTTTTCACATATATATTTTGTAATTTTCGTAATAAAGAAGCAGTGTCCGTCGCACTCTAGCATCAACTCGCGCCGTCAAGGGCTTTAAAGGAGGACTTCACGATTGGAATGAAGGTCGAAGAAAGAGTAATTCACCTAGTTGAGAGACCGGCGGACCTCCTGAGGGTGCGGACTGACGCGCAATTGGCAGCGAAAGATTTGACCTCGGCGACCTAGCATGGCTCACTCTTGGCGCGGTTGGCGGGGTCCGCCCACCGACGGTCTATACGTGGCGAGTGATTAGATAGCAGAGAGAGCGTAGTGTTGAAGAGGGCACAGCGATGAGAGTCGCATCAATGCTCAAATCAACGGGCAAGGAAGGGGTTGGTTCTGGGCCGTTTTCATGGTTGTTCCTTCTTTCGTGTACACTCACCATCCCCAAGGTAATCATACTAATATATAAACCAGAGTTTGTTTGTCTGACCGCTCCCCAAAATTCGCAAGTGTCCCCCACATGTTTATAATTCTTCCTTCAAAAATCACCTAAGGAGGGCGGGTCAAGTTTGGAATGGTAGAGTATGAGTCGCTCTTAAGGGAAATATATTGGCTATGAGAAACACCTGCGACATTTGACAACTTGTCAGAATTTCTTGCTAAACGAATAAAAACACATCGTCTAGAAGCACAAAAACGTATTAAAGAAGAATTCCATGATAAGGCGGAGGTCGAAGAAGGGGAAATCTACCTAGGGGAAAGCAGTGGAGCCGTTAAAGGTGTGGACGGAAACGCAGCTCGTAGCGGAATACATGTCCCCTGCGACCTATCATGGCCGCCCCGCGCCGCTGCCAGCCCATCCCCTCCCCGTATAACCAAGCAGCTCTTACAGAGAAAGCGTTAGCGTTGCTGAGGTCAGCACCGCCAAGACACGCCTAAACGCCAAATCGAAGAGGCAGGAGTCGTCATTTCTGCAGTCTGGTATATTCATCCTCACACCGTCACCCACCTAGTTCTTCTGATGAGCTGCCTTTTCACTCGTCGTAACATCTGTCCTCTTAAATTCTGCGCAAAATTTGGAATATTCCAGATCATTACATCAGCAATTTCAAACACTTAGAATTGAACACATTGTGGAACAGAGAGATTAGATAGTCTGGATTAGTCCAGTAATACAACAAGTATAATCAACGCTGAGCAAATTTATTCAGAAGTATTCAATAAACAGATGCCTTACGCGGAAAAAATGTGAACTCATGGCTGTTTAACGTGAAAATTCGCACCCGATTTACCAAACAGTGCAAAATCTCAAGGAAAATTTCAGATGACAGAAAACGCCGAGATGTAAGATGTTATGGAGACCATGGCCTACCGAACTACAACCTGGGATCGGTCCACTACGTATTCCTTTGTAAGACCACTTAGAACATCCGGCCTTTCTCCTCATGATTCTATGACGCCAGTTTCAAACAATGTGCCCCTGAAGACAACTCCACAACGAACACTGGTCATGAAATACATCGCCACGTATACTACTTGAAGTTCTGTGACTTTTCCATCCTATCCTATAGGTCGTAAGACACTATCGCCTGTGACAAGACATCTGTGCAGTTTTGGAAAGCACGGAACAGATGAGTCGTATATCGCCGAGTTAGTGGATATCGAACAAAGTACTCCCACGAAACAGACAAAGACAAAATGACCTGAGCCTATCGGATAACAGTAAGTTTTCGAAGAACCCCAATTTCCAGTTCCGACTTCAACGCTGAGAATGATTCTCCAATAAGTGACGGAGCGTTCCTCACGTTACATCGTAGTGTACCAGAAGCATCATTGAAGTACGGGTCTACAATTCTCATGAAGCTATCGTCTTCTCGCTCCATTCGTCTGAAACATTCAATTATTCCTGTTGAAAGCAGTAGTAGTAGTGAACATTACAAAGGCTTAGAAGCAAACAACAAAATCAGCCCCAAATATTCCACAAACTATCTGCCTTTGGAAGCCCGCCGAAAAAATGGAACTTTTTGTACGTTCACGTACATACAAAGAGCGAAATACGATGGCAAATGGTAGAATCCTGGGCTCTCATAGATAGAAGAATATGAACATCATTTATTCTTGCCCTACTGTCACATGTGTTGTTGGAGGGGTTTCAGTGGAAGTCGTTTGCAATCAGACTTTCCAGACATTAACACGTTGACGACAGGCTGACGCGCATGCGCGTCAGAAATTTGGCACCGCATCGGACATTCTGACGCGCATGCGCGTCAGAACTATTCATTTTTATCGTGCTTGCGCTCCTTCTTCTCGAGTTTTTTTTGTATTCATTCTATAGATAATACATTAGCATAACTATAAACCACATGGCAGCCAGAGTGGTCAAATATCCTTGATTTAGCAAAGATTTTCTGAACGCACAAAACTTTCATTTCAATTCTTTCCTAGATTCCTTTCACTGTCGTAAACATTCATATGAAAGATTGTAGAAGAAGTTAATACAAAACGCTCTGAGTTTCCCAAGATAATTTTGCATAATTATTGAAAACTAAGGTATAATACTATTCTATTTCATTCGCCACAAGTATAAATGTTTTTTGCCTCTTCGAGTAATAGTCGCATTTTGACCACGCGAGTGTGACATGACATCATGTTACACGGCCCTACGAGAACTCCTTTTTCTCAGGAAGTGTGTATTTGTTATCTTTCTTGTGTGGTAGGTCTCCGATTATGCGATTTTGGCCATTTTAGCGATTCCTGTGATTTGATCATTATTCAAACATTTTTAGAAAAACTCGATAGCCCATCAACCGAAGCTTCTTTCCAGGGACCACGCCTTTTGTAACAATGCCTAAGTATGGCGCATACATCACGTAAATAAGTTACCTAAAATGTTTGAAAACCAGCTTAAAAAGACTGTGACACGACA